ACACGAGTTATTTCAACCTACATTTTACTACTTATTTTATACAAAAAGGAGGAAAAGTCATAGGTGAGAAATAGTTTATGAATGGTGTGATTTATAAATTATTCAAATATCCATTCACACTGTGAATTAAATATACACGCTGTTCAATATCGTATGCTATTTACAATGGCGTTGGCCGAGAGAACAAGATCCAGCGGCACGCTCCCGCCCACGCGATAGTCGTGATGAGGTTTTCAGGCACCCTGCAAACCACGTCGACCTCGCTTCTCAGACTGCCTGGAGACGATGGCGGAGTTGGGACGCATTTCAAAATTGCATGACGGCGTGGTTTGAACAGACCTTCGGTCATTTCAGCATTTTTCTAGCGGCGTTTACTGACGCCAAGTCGTCCAGTGACAATTACCTGAGCAACTGGAATTTTAAATCATGAACTTCTTCCCAAAATGTAGGACATATATATAATATATATATATATATATTATAGTATAATAATAATTATATATATATATATAGAGAGAGAGAGAGAGAGAGAGAGAGAGTAATATAGAACCAATACATGTTTTATGTTTTGTCACTGTGATATTAATGTTTTTTTATATAATGTGTTTGATAAAAATAAATATTTTTACTTATTATTTTGACACCAGAAGTAGTTCAATCTTCGGTTATTGAAGCAGACTGAGCAGGAATTTTCTATCTGAGAGGTAAAATTGCAACGCGTTGCCCTTCTTACACAATTGCACGCGTTGCCCAAACATGTAAATTAAACCTGTCGGCATCATTTCGCAAGATTTCACTTTAAAAGACTCAGAACGTACAACTGATTTGTGCCCAGCTTTCATTTGTTGTATTATTGTTAATATTTCACATACTATTCACTTGTTTACATTGAAGTTCATCACCAAAAACATTATGAAGAAGCGACTGGGAAACTAGTGCACTTATCTCTTCGATCAGAATTTTTTGAAATCTGTAGTCACATTTGACGCACGCTCATTCACACCTACATGTATTTAAGAATTTTCACACTATTTCAAAATGTTTCAGTCCTGAGTTGAATTTTCCGTTTTGAAAACTGGTCTGCGTTTCTAAGATCGAAAATTTTACAACGCAACGCCCGCAGAATGCACTCAGGCGATTCCCAGCGCGAGTCAAATCTGAGCGCGGAATTCAGTCGGGCGATTGCCAGGGCGATGGAATCTGCCCGCGAGATGCAGTCGGGTAATTTCCAGATCGATGGAAACGGGCCACGAGATGTAGTCGGGCGATTGCCAGAGCGAAGGAACCTGACCGCAAGATGCAGTCGGACGATTGCCTGGGCGATGGAAACTGGCCGCGAGATGCAGTCGAGAAATTGCCAGGGCAATGGAAATTGGCCGCGAGATGTAGTGGGACGATTACAAGGTCGATGGAATCTGGTCGCGAGATGCAGTCGGTCGATTCCCAATGGAGGGGCAGCAGGATGCGGTCGGGCGATTCGCGCGTAGCGCGGGCGGAGGCGCTCGCCGCAGTCGTCGCTCTGCCTTGGTCTCGGGCGCGACGCGATGTGAAATGCATGAGCAGGCGCCGTTTCGCACGGGCGGCGCGCGGAGCCTCGCCCTCGCAGCCGGATCAGGGCGCGCTTCCTCCCGGCGGCGGAGGCGCAGCTCAAGAACCGCGCCGCTTGCCAACATTTATGAGCGGGCGGAGAATAACGCTGGATCGCAAGATTCAAATAAACAAACAGTATTGAAATTCATTCGCGCACACCGTCAAGGCAGACTCAGGCGAGCGCTGTGACACGGAGAGGTGGCCGAGGCGGCAGAACTGAGAGTGCAAGGTGTCAGCGGAAAAAAATATGCTTGGCGGATATCAGTACTAATAAAAGTGAATTTAGCGACATGTAACAGATATTGATACCCCAAACGAGAGTGTATTAATAGAAACAAATTTTGTACAGGTTCTTTTTCAGAATTTTAGAAATGTCCTTGCAAAGTTTCGTATAGATTATTACAACATAAAAGTGGAAAATAAATAAATAAAATAATTTGTTGGTGGATGAGTATTATATTTTTCACACTTCACTAAGAGCGTGTTGGTTCCTAATATATTCCGCTAGAGAACAGTTCCAGTGCATAAGATACAAATATTTATCCAAAAGCAGTGCACGGTAAAATAAAATGAAAGAAAGTTGTGGTATGTTATTAAACTTTTAGCCAATTACTTTAAATTTAATCATCTTAAACTCCATGGTTCATGTAAAATAGTTATTCTTCCTCTTTCACAAGGGTTGGATATGAATAAATATCGGGTAACGCCGGCTATTTTGCTAGGTATTAATAATTTAGGAAGACTGGACTGTGGAGAGACAATAGACAGGTTTATTTAAATATGAAGTGTGTAATTATTTAAATATGAAGTGTGTAAGGAAAGACTCGTGTGTACTCATAGAGACGGTGAGTAAGAGAAATGAGACAGAGTGAGGATTGGGGACAACTTTTTGGAAGGAACGATGTAGCAACATCTAAGAAAACCGTTTATGTTGGCATTTACTTGATAAACGTAAGGTAAAGTTCTACCAAGAATGAAAGGTGAGTCACGAAAATGATATACAAGGCATATAGGCATGGCAAGCAGTAATGGTATGCAAGTCATGTAGTAGCCAGAAGTGTAGTGAGTGTTAAATATTTTATAAATAATTGATAAAAAATATAACGGATTATGCGCATAGAATGTAAGTAGGTTTGTAAGTAAGAGAAAGGAAGTAGGGGAAACAAATAGTGTCATAAATTTGAGAACGAACGCACAGAAGAAAGTGCAGTGGATAATGTTACTAATATAAACTCCACGAGAAGGCTGGGCAGTGAGTAGTAAACGAAGCTCAGTATCGATGACATGTGACCCCGAAGAACCACGACAACGGATGTAAGATAAAGGGGAGAGAGTGGTAATCAGATGCAAAGACAGAGATTGATGTTTCTTGGCCGACATTATTACCGTAAGTGTAGTGCGTCTTTTAATGCGGGAGGAGGAAGTTATTTCCCCCCGAAAGATGGGTACATCAGGCGCCGACCTACTTCTCGGCGTGTGCGGTTTCCTCATCCAGGTCTCTCCCACCAGCGGGGTACTAACCCAGCCGGGATAAGCTCTAAGCTCCAGGCAAGGGTGGTAGTGTAGTGCATGCGACTTTGTAGGTAAGTGGTGACGATAGGACAAGGAAGGGGAAGGAAAGGCAGTGGTCCTTTGCTTAGAATACTGCGACAGCTTTGTCTACTGTTGGTGGGAGAACCCGCAGAAAACTCCCGATCGGACCAGCCGGCCACTGGAATTCTTCTCCAGAAGCCACCTGAAGTCGACTCAGATGAAAAGCCAGTCTCGAAAATCCTACCACCGTAGGGACTCGAAACCACGAACTTCCTGGTCAGAGACACTTAATGCCCTGAGCCAAGTAAGCCAGTCAGAGATTTAAGGAGTAAGTGGAAATACGCGGTTTTCAGACATTCAAACAACGAGGAAGAAGATAGCGAGGCAAGTGTTGACGAAAAAGAACACGAGAAGGCACAACTGCGCCAACCCGCAACCTTATGGCGACGCACGGCGGCGAGCAGGCGGAGGGCCGACCGTGGCTGGGAAGGGGCGTAACCGGCAGAGCGCGGAAGCAGCAACGCGGCGAGGGGCGGGGACGTCACGAGAGGGGAGGGGGCATCGGTCACAGACGCGATTGGGATCGAGGTTTGCACTTCGGGAACTCGCAAAGAATCGAAGGATGGCGCTAAGCCCCGTGGCGATTACGACTCGCTCCGCGCATGGAGCTCCGACGCAATCGATGGCGCTCGGCTGCGGCTGCTCAGACGAAGTGCAGTGACATCAGTTCATGTGCAGAGCCATCTCTTCCAGTACATTGAACGTCACCATAGTGACGTAAAAAAAATATAGTGACGCTAAAACTCGTGATTGGATGATAGGACATCTAACGAAGTGCCAAGAAACTCAAAGTTTTAATCGAAGCATAGGTCATGCGATATCGATGTTTAAAATTCTAACATCGATTTTAGGAACACATCGTCACAAAAGCACGGAAGTTCCCCAATGTTCAATGGTTAAAAATTACATTTCGAAAGTGGTCTGATATTAACGCTCGTGCTGTGGCAGAATCCTTTAATACGACAGCAGCAGTGCTTAATAATAATAATTTAACTAAAATAAAGTAAAAAATAACAGTTAACAAAAATTACCTTTAAGCCTGGGCGCTGAGGATCATCTCAGGGAATAGAGCTTCGTAAGTTCACCGTAAAAAGGTGTAGTAAGGAGGAGGGCCTACGCCCCCGCCATGCGTTCGCCGCTCCCGCACGTCATGAATTTAAATATTTAGGAGAAGTTGTAAGTGAAGGAGATTAAACATTAAATAAGAATGACGATAAGCCTTAATAAAATTGAACTGTTCTAAGCCAATTTGACCAATTTGAGATTTATAGCCAATTTGAGAACATTTTTTTCGAAATGGAAGCCAGTAATGTCACTTGTTTTTCGGTTCAGTTTGCAATGCTAGTCGGCGTTCTGTGATGCATGTGTTGGCTTGAGTCGAGAGAACATACCACAAAATTATGGCTTTCTGGAGTCAGTATAGGGTCAGATTTTGCCATGTAGAACAAATAACGATGCATGAAGTGTAAAGAAAACATCTTCAAGCTATTATTTTCTATTCAATAATGCCAATCACGTCAGATTAAACACATGTGTAATATCGATTAACATAATGTTAAAAAAGAGGGTATGTAGTAACGTGATCTTTAAATAACGAGGCGCGAGAGCAGAATCCAACAAAACCACACAAGTTTGACATTTGAGGTTTCCATAAGATTGTAAATTAAGGGCAGTATCTTCTATAGGAGGAAAACTATGCGCAACCGCAGAGTCCCTTAATCTCGCTCTTTCCGCCGCCAGCAGCGCGACCGCCGCCCGCGGACGGACCAGTCGTCCGTCAGGCGGGTCCACGCGAGTGCGCGACTGCGAGGCTGACCATGCGCGGGCGGGGAGCGGTGCTGCTGCTGGCGGTGGGCGTGGCGCTGCTGGCGGCGCGCGAGGCGGGCGGGGCGATCGCCCGCGGGCGACGCGCCAGGGCGAACCCGCGCGAGAGCGACGAGGACGCGTCCTCGGAGGACGGCGCCCTGGGGCCTGCGGAGGACGGCTTGGCGGCGTGGGCAGCCTCCCTCGACGCCCAGGCCAAGCGGCGCGAGCAGGACGAGCGGGAGGAGCGCGAGCGGCTGGCGCGCCACGGCGCCGCCGCCAGGGCACTTGCACCGTCCACAGCCCGCACCCTGGCAACCGTCCCACAAGCCCAACAACACACCGTCCCGCCACCACCAGCCCATGCCACACAACCCCAAGAGCACCATCCACTGGGCTGGCGACGACAGTGCCATCAACGGCTGCAGACGCGCCACCACAAGTCGGTGAGTAGTTGAAGAAGGATTGAGAACTGTTGCGGGACGGGGGCTGAAAAAAGGATACCGACTCGCCTTCATAGAGGGATTAGTTTGTAAATCGCCAAGAATGATTTTTGCAATGGAAATCTGAAAACTAAATTGCCGTCACAAGTCCACTTTAGTTTGTCGTTTTCACAACTTAGTATTTCAAGCAATATGTTATATGTCTTTCAATCACTTTTATTCGCCCTTTATTCGCATGCATGTAAACGCTTCCATTCCATTTGCCACAAAAACCTGCATGCCCACGGAGAAAATTTTTATGTCACCACCAAGGACTTTCAACAAATCACAGAGCGTTCATAAAAGACAGCGCCCAATTTTGCGAAAATGTGTCTTGATTCATTTTCGATTCGACAAGTCGCAGCTGGTCGGATTGTCGACTTAAGCAATGCGTGTTCACAGCGTCAACCAGGAATTGCCTACCCGGCTTTCAATAACCTTCTTGGCGATGGCTATTCGGACAGTGCTGCGCCCTGCTTGCGCTACGTTTGGAATGTACACTCTCAGCTCTAGTTTATGCCAACGAGAGGTTACATCTATTGTTTCATTTGAGGTTAGGCGCCAAACATGAATTATTTTTGGCGTTTATGTGCGACTACCACCCGCTAAACGCATGTTGATCCTGCGCCGTTGGTGGAGGACGTTGACGGGCTTCACGGAACAGTCGCTCAGCCTCCACCCGCGCCACTCAACCGACTCAACCTCGAGATCACATGAAGACCACCACCGCCATAAAAGTGGCCACTCCTGCAAAAATGCAACTTTTATATACGGACGACAAAGTTTCTTTCTGAATCTCAAAACCTTGTAGCTGTGATTGGTTACTACAAGCATTACCCATTTTCAATTTAATATTATGCTGAATTTTTAAAAATAGTTCTAGTTTCAATAGTATTATAAAAGAGGCCAATGCCTTCTCTAAAGTGGAAAATGTTTTCTAGTTATTTTGAAGTTTTTAGTATATTAAATATGTAAAAAACAAAACCGCTAAGTGTTATCTAACCAGTAATTAAATCTTGACAGACTAATGCATGAACTGCCAAAATTATACTTTAAAACCATCAATAATTAAAAAAAAAGATTAACAGTGTAAGCACATATTATACCTATTCAGTAAACAAAAGGTTAGAAAAAATAGTCCGTCCGTCTATCCTTCCCCGCCCGCTCTGCCCTGTCCCCATGCCTCATCCAGTCCTCATCCGCACGCTGCAGTCCGGCTTCGGTCACTGCTGGCCGGCCAGCCGAAGCCGCCTATACGGATGGCGAGTTGCATGACACTTTCACAATATCTCATCTCGGTAACATTTTAAAATCAGACTGTGATTAATATTTTTTCGAACGCTCAAAAGTATCCCTGAACAATTATAAGGCATTTGCAGCAGTGGTCAAAAGTTTTGTGTAACACATACGAGTACATTCATTTTATACCGCGTCTCTTCTGCGCCTGCGCCAACTGCCAGCGCCACCGCTGCCTCCTCCGCCGATACAACCAGCACAGTCTCCACCTCTGTCGCACTCGCGCCTAATCTGCAATCTACGCCTCAATGAATGGCGTCATTTGCATCCGTTATTCTGCAATGGAAACCAAAAGGTTTCCGCGCGTACAATTTCACACTCGGCCGGCCGGCTGCTCGGCGCCGCACAGGAAGCGATCCATATGTCGGGGCGTCTTATCGCGAATCCTTTCATTGCTCAGACAAAGCATAATGAATCACGGCGCCTTTGAAAGCGTAATTAATGGTAGGAACGAGCGTGTCATGAACTAATAATCTGGGAGAGGGATGGGGGAAAACACTTCGTAATCTGACGCTAACGGTTCATTAATTATTTTCGTCAGCCGCTTGAAGAAAAGGGAGGATTGGGATTTCAAGCATCCAGGTCCTGCTGACCTGCTCGTTGAAAGAACTGTGACAAGCGCCGATAAAAAAGGAATAATCAAAGCGCCTGCATGTAGTAAAATATCTATCACAATTTCTTTAATACATTCGAACAAAGATGCAAAGTGTCAATGTAAAATCTTGTAATGGCTAATAAAGTAAAATAGGTTTATACAGAGAGCGTACGTGAACCTAACATACTTGTTCGAATAAAAAATATATAACTGGTGGTTTTATTCGTTACGTATTGAAATTACGCCAATTTTTCTTAAGTTTGATTCAGTTACTTTCGTACCTTTCGGAGTAAAACGTGCAACAATTATGACATTTTCAGCATACTTCTACACAATGAATGTTCGTTTCAGCGCGGTATTGTAATAACATAAAAATGTGCTTACGTAGACAAAATGTAGAAGTTCATTTATAGTAAACAGGCACCTAAACGAACATCTATAACACAATAACAAGAAGAAACGTTCTTCTCGGGACCTTAACGCACCAAATACCGCAGCTGTAAATTTCCGCCGGAGCGTTCTCAACAATGTCCTGAATTTCTTGTTTTATTCATAACGAGCTTTGGGTCGTGATATGCAGATGTCGGCTCTGAGATGTAAAATCAGATATATAGGGATGAAGATGTTGATTGGATTAACAGGGCGTCAAACAGGATTTAATTTGGCCTAAAAGTTAAGCGCGGCAGCGGCGGAGGCAGCGAACGCGAAGGTAACCGGCGAAGGAAGGGAGGAGGAGGAGAAGGCGGTAAACGACGACTAGCGGACGGGTCATATACCGTTAATTTCTGAAAATTCAACATCCACCCCCTTTGGGGCCGTTATCCAAGGTGCAGAAGAGACGTTCCTTCCGCGGATATTGTCAGGTGAATATTATTAGCAAACTTTCATTAAAGCCTGTCTTGTTTCCTGCCATCAAGTATCTCTTATGCAAGGCGCAGAAAGTGACGCGAGATGCCCTGGAACTTTAAGACGAGGTTCTTTTCTTGAATAGCGGTATTATTCATTTGCGAATAATATTTTCATAGAAGAGATCCCTTAAATACATTATTACAAACTTTATATAAACTTCTAATCATTGAATGTAAAGAAGAATCAGTTCAATCACTTTTTTAAAAATATTTGCAAGAAACATGAATTACAAAAGAAGTATATTTCTATGCTTGCACCGAAAATAATTTAGGACAATAATGGTAAATTTCCTTTTTAAAAGCAATACACTGCTTCATTTTGCATAGACACATTTGCATTCATAACATCGGGCATGAGAGACATTAAGCTCATTGAAATTATTGTAAATACCGAGTCAGAATGGAAATCATAAATTCATTTTATTGCAATTTAAAATTGTGTTCTTGTTGTGTTTGAGAACTAATTGTGTTTGTTTACTCACTATGAATAACTAACTCAATTCAGCCAAGCTCAATAAAGCTGTAAGGTGTTGTTTAACATGTACATCTTTTTATTTGTCCTAAAATCATAATATATATTAAAACAAATTATTTTAGTATCTTAATTCAATATTTGAGGTAATTCTGCAAAAGTATAATTTGTATCTATTCTGAAACTTTTATAACCGAATTACAAATACAGGCTAACGGTATTTTAATTGTCATAACAGTCTTAGCATACATTAACTTGACATAAACTTCGTTTGTGTAACGTACTTACTAATGTAATAACATTATGTACACCATTCTGTAAATGGATGCTACGAATTCCTAAATTTATGTTCGTCTGTAAATTTTGTGTGGGTTGAAGACTAATTGCTCACTACTATCTCCAGTATCTTTCAATCACTTCGGAAAGCAACTTCTCTTCTTCCGCTTGTACGTCTGCGCAAAAGCTTATGACACCACGTCACGTGACGCCAGTCGGCGAAATTGAGACGGTAGCTCACAACTTGATTATACACTGACACTCATTATGCACTAATCCCATTATCTATCTTTCTACTCGTCGAGAACCTCTTTTAACCCAGTTTGTAATTAAGGAACTTGAAGAATTTGCCTTCTCCACTTTCCATTCCTTTCTGCTCTTCCCTTTCATTCTCTCCGTTGTCTTTTCTCTTATCTTGCCGCGTCTCTCGTCGTCCTTTCTTGCCCTCGTCAAAAGCCTCTGTTAAAGCGACGATGTCGAACGCACCTAGTGCTTCTGCGAATTGTTTAAGACACTCACGACCATGGAAATAGTATACCAATGCGAATTTTACGAAACAACGTTCTGATTGTTTGGGTTTGCCTTTTAAGGGAAATTATCTGTGAACATGTAGAAGATTTGTTATTTTCACATGAAGTTTCTATTTATCGCATTTATTTCTCTGTATCTTCCTTGATTAGACGTTGGTAGCTTATTTCCATTTCCTTAGATGTAGCAGTTTGCTAAACAAATCGTATCTATAAATCAACTTGCAAGATGTAGGTTGAATACAAACATTCTCGTGATGCAAGAAGAAACTTATGTACCGTTATATCCATTTCATTTGGAATAAATAAACAACAGTATCTTCATTCACAAATTCAAACAGTAAAAATACACCATTTTTCATCTTCTAATCTAAAATTTATAGCTGAATTCATTTTCAGGAGAATCATTATTCCATTTATATTGTTACGGATATCAAGGATAAACTTCATCTCCCTTTTAAATGCCGAATATCCTTTCACAATTTCATTAATGGAGACCTAAAAGAAAACGTGCCAATTGCACGGAAGTTGCCACATCATTGCGCGATATTCATAAAGAAATACGAGAATCTTTGAAGATTTTGGCGAGGATTTCCCACGCTCGTCTGACACTTGAACTCTGCTCCGCGGCCGAAGACGCAGCTGCCACTTCCCCCGCCCCCTGCCTCCTCGCCCCCCTCCCCGGCCGCTCCGCGGCGCTCCTCTGTTTGTTTATGCGGACGGCGAAATTGCGAAAGTCTGATTAAGCCTCTAACGCGGCCGAGGTTACCTCCTCTAAAATAAGTGCGTCTCGCCGTCTTCTCCGCCGAAAGTTTTTGATATTGAAGGTAATTCCCATACAGGAGTTGGCTTCATTCTCGGGCGGCGGAGGAGAGCAGCGGGTGTCCCCAAGTTGCCGTCGCCCGGCGCGGCGCGGCGCAGCGCGCGACAGCTGGCGGAGCCCATACTTCTGAGGGGGCGGGGCGGAGGGCGTTACAGGGCGAATGGCGCCTCAGGCACGTGACGTAGACTGCGCCCGGCGCGGCGTGGGCGGCGCGGGACGAGGGATAATTTACCCTCCCTGCCTCGCCCGCTCCCTTCATGAATTTGCCCTCCTCCTCCTCCTCGTCGCTGCCCGCACCTCCGTCACCGCCGCCGGCCGCCGCTCCACTGTCTCTAGCCACTTCGCCAGCAGCCCTTCCCCTCCGGCGGCGGACCTACCTTCCGGCGCCGGCGTCGTAGGGCGTCGTAGGGCGCCGTAGGGCGGGGCTGCCTTTCTCGGAGCAGCCGTAACTTGCCGCCCGTTTTCTCGTAACTTTCGCCCGGGCGTTCAAGATATGTGCAGGCCGTAATATGTGTTCGTACGCGCCGCCCTGGCGGGGGTGCGAAAAAAGGCTGTAACGCTACGTAAGATATACACACAACGAAAAGGTTTTATGCAGGCCGCCCTGTTGGCGCGTTACATTTGCGCACCTCTCAATTGCCGCGTCGTAAAGCAGGCGCCCGCGGGCCCGGCTGCTGCCGCCCGGCCGATCAAATCGAGGGCGGCGGCAAAAAGCGAGCGCGGCGCGGCGGTGCGCGGCGGTGGAATGCGGAACGCCGATTGGTCATAAGAAACATAATCTCGAGGCGGCGCCAGACCCGCCTCCCGCCGCCTCCTCGCCTCGTCCCAGGCTGTCGAGAATCGATGGGCCCTCTCACTGATCCAGGAAAATCCGTTGGCAAGACAGCAAGGAAGGCTTTGTCGTTCAAACTTTTCTACAGCCTTTTTGAACAAGACTATGCTACTTATTAAATTAAACTACGGCGTTAAGAATTTGTTAGGGAATTTTTCAAAACTATTAATTGAGATTCAAAATTATTTTTCGCAACTATTAGTTAATTTTTGTCTGTTCATAATAAACATACTTCATATTTTTTGTCAAAAAGTAGTAGACCTTCTTAAGATATTTTGAATGCCTAGTTTAAACGTATAAATTTGTAGACTAACTATCAATTTGACATATGGTGAAAAAGTATTTTTAATTACTAAATACCCGTGACATCATAGAAGGTGAAACCTCGATTAAATAGAGAGATGAAAGAGAAAAGAAATAGTGAGAGAGAAAAAAAGAACTCGATTTGCGATTGCTTTTACTATTCCAGAGTTGTGGGTTTTATTTCAAATAAGCAAAGGATAGGGAAAGGATGCAACCTATTCAGAAACCAAGAGTTACTGTTACATGTATGATGCTTATGGGATGCAGTCGGATAGAAAATAGAACCATAGGTACAAAATATAGTCGTCAACTACAAAAAATATAAAACAATTTGGAAACTTCATATAAATTGATTTTTCTTGTCAACAGTAACACAGTCGAAACACAGACGTGCTACCCAACATGCTTAAATTCACCATCCAACTTTGTGTTAAATGTTTAGTAATGGAATTCTTGAGTAAGGGATGTGTGTAACGTTATGACAGTTTCGTTATATATTTATCTTGATTGCTATTACGTTTAATGTTTGTATGTGTATTTCTGAATCGGAAAATACATTTAGTCGGCTTGTGTACCAATTTCTCCTACAAAAGTTGTTAACAAAATATTTACAAACTAAATAGCATTATGTAATAGATACAGATTATACATACCGAAAACGCGCCTTTTATTCTGGCCGAACCAAACATTATTTTAAAGTATCCAAGTTATTCCAAATTTTCATTTTTTTATGTAATAGGTCATTACTACAGCACTTCCCGATGGGTCGCAGTTCAGGGACTTCGAGCACGTAGGAGAAAGCTGTGGTCTGGTCAGCTTCCCAAGTGAACATCACCCCGTCCATAATCATTCACTCGGAGAAGTCCACCTTTTGAGTTCAATATCCCCGTCCCCAAAGCGAGTAACAACGATTAACCACAGCCTAGTTTGTTCCCTCACTTTCTTTAGGAAAAGAGTTACTACTTCAACGCTTAGTATCTTTATTAATAAATATTTAACCCTAAGTGATTGTTTCGTCATTCAATATTAATCGGATTGTTACAGAACGTTTCGTTACTATGTGTGTTCGAGGTAGGTCATAATTTCCAAGCAGGCAAGGTCGTCCATAAACATGTTAAGTGGGAGAGGGCCATAAATTTTTTTGTATATATCGACGTAGATAACATTTGCGCAATAGCAACATAGCAAATAGTGCCCCATTCATGAAAAAAGGGGCGCAGCCATCCGTGTCGCCAAGTAGTCAAAACTATGTATGCCCTTAATAAGCGGCAAAAACTGAAAATATTTTAACACACGTCTGCACATAATGATTATAATATTTTACTATATATGAAATGTATTCTTAAAAATATATAATTTCCCTTCAATTATACTGAAATTTATTCTCGAATTCCCGTTGTCGGCTCCCCCCTCACACCTATCTCACTCGTGTTCTCTGTGTTCCGGAATGGCGTTAGTTAAAGGACGTTTTCGGGCCGGTCAACCGCTAAGGTCAGTCATCCTGTAAGTGTAGTTTATGTTTCAACGCGGGATGTGGCGGTCAGCTTCCCCCGCTGGATAGCGAGTTCCGGCTCCGAGCCACACGTAGGCTGGCGAGGCTTTCCCCATCCATGTATCTCCCACCAGCGAAGATCCGCTCCACTCGGGACAAACTCTAAGTTCTGCGGTAGTGTAGTGCATGTGTGTGTGTGTGTGTGTGTGTGTAAATAAGGAGGTGAGGAAACGGCAAGGAAAATAAAGAGATTGCATGTGGCCCGTGACCCGTTTCTCAGGGTACTGCTCCAGCATTGTCCTGGAGTTGATCGGACAAACCACCAAAAAACTACCGATGAGAGCAGCCGGCCGCTAGACTTTTCCTTCAGACGGCGGCTCATTTTGACCTCCCTATAGAGCTATGTAGTGTCGAGAATGCTGCCACCGCCGGGACTCGAACCCGAGGATCAGAGGCACTGCGGCATCAAGTGAGAGTGGCAGTGGTGCGCGAGTGAAGGGCGACGATGCTCAGCCACTGCGATCACTGCGCGGGAGAGAGGCCATCAGTCACGCTCGCCTCGCGTAAAGCATTCCTAGGAGATTTCATGCAACTGAATGGTTCAGGCATAAAACTCCAGAGTAGCTCTGTACTAACCTGTGATTCCAAAGACCCAGGCCGAAGTTTTCGAAAAGGAGCGTAGCAAGGAAGTGAATGTCACGCGAGGGCGACTGCGACAAAGAGTAAGTTGCTTTTAATTTAAAGGGCTCGTAAATTACAGAATCGATTCCTTACTATCGACTGGTCTATATAGTAACGCTTAATGTGTTAGCCCTCGGGGCCCGGACCTTTATTGGAATTAAGGCGAAGAGGAAGAAGGAAAGAAGGGGCTGGAGAGAGGCGATTCGCCCTATCTCTCCTCGCTTTCTTCGTTTTCCTTTTGGCGAGGGAGAATGAAAGCTGAAGGCTCCGAGGGGCGCCGATACTAATTTAAGAGCGCCCCGGGCTTCATCCTGCGGCCGAGATGTGGGAGCGCCGACTTCTGGCGAGTTTAAACTTGCGGCGACGCTTCGCCCTCCTTCGCGGAGCAGCGTGGGCCCCTCGGCGCTCGTTCTGCACACCACACGTGTCTCCGAGGAGCTGCCATCTCGGGTTTTTAATAGTCTTTGTATCACAGTACGGAGCGGCACCTAGCGGTGATTTCACTTCTCGGTACTCTGGTTTGAAACTTCATCGCTGCCCAAAGAATTTAAAAGGCGACTGCTAGAGATTTCCTTAAGGTAATCTACTTTCTCGTGTCTTTCATTCCACTTGCTCTATTATCATTCATACAATCATTAGATAACAAATCTCACTGATGGTTGGCGATGAATGTAAAATATTTTAGTTGGAAAGATGATTGTGAAGACTTATGAATAGCAATGTAGCACTAGTAAAATGAGACTACATACCTCGTCAATCGACGGAGATTTAAACTCTAGACGCGACAGAAGAATGCCAGCGCTCTACTTTACACCACGGATCGCCCTGCTCTGGCAAACGCGCAGGAATTCACAGTCAGTTAACGATGTCATATATGATTTTAATTCTCCTTTCAATCGCGTTAGGCATTTTTTTTTACTTTTCGCAATGTTACAATGTTACTGACACAATGTTTCCATTATTCCACCATCATAATTCGTAATGCGCAGTACCTAATTTCAACATACTGTTTTAACATCGTGTTACATTTTTCACCATCTTTTTGCTCCCCCCCCAAATAATATTAATACATTAACATTTCAATGACCAGTACACATAATATGTCCATCTGTATTATTTCTCTCTAATGATATATTCTTTTTAATAGACTGCGCGTCGAATTAGGTCTATTTAATTTATTGTAATTCCGATTCCACTGAAGTCTAGCATATAGTACAACTACCTGAAGTCGTTTAATCCGTCACTTCGCGCCGCTCCGGCGGTAACTGCGCAGGATTCTGGAGGCTTTCTTATAAAAGTGAATTGGTTATTATGCGGTGGATAGACTCAAGGATGTTTATAGTGAACGCGAGGGTCGCAGGCCGGAGCCTCGCCGTGACTTGGATCCGGGCGAGCGAACGAGAAAACTTGCCTTTGAATGTAATTTGGCATAACAATGCGGCGGGGACAAAGTGTATGAAGGTCGAGCCATGAAAATCGCCTATCCGTAAGTTCTATTCATTTCTATCAGTGCGCGTAACGTAATTAGAGGGAGGGCTTAAGAAGACCCCTCCCCACACCCTCGACGCCTCGCTGACGGTGTACCGTGTACATTACTTTTACCCCGATAGCAGTATTTTACGATACTGCCGCACTTCTATAGTGAATTTGTCTTCGTTTTCAATATTTAATATGGTACCCACGAGGAAAATCAAATTACCTACCGTACTGGGTTGGAGCGCCTCCGTCGTCCGCGAAGGGCACCTCCGCCCTTGGCCGCTCGGATCCTCCTGCGAGAAGCTCGAGGTCGCTCGACTGCTGCTCTGCGGCCGCCGCCACACAAAGCCACTGGGAGGCCGGGCGCATTTCTTCTCCTCCACACCCCAAAAATCTTCTTTCTTCGCGCACCAATTGCCGTTGCTACGCTCCCTTAGCCCATCGTTGCTCCCACGCACCCTCACGAACTCTTCCATGAGCCCCCCCTCCCTAACGAATTTGGCTTTCGTTGTATTAATTACGCGCAGCAACAGATTATGCGAATCGGCCTCCAAACAGTTTCCACGGGAATGGTCACATGTTCCACAAAATGTTCTTTTGCAATAGAAACCCGCAGGCAATACGAACTTCTGCTGTTTCTAAAAGAAATTTGCTAACATCCAGCTAATGCCTCTCCATCATTATATTTATAGTACTTTGAAAAACTGTTTTCTTTTTGACGATTGACCGTGACTGCGATGCGCATCATTACGAAACTCGTTGCTCATTGTGAAATTGTACCTGGCGAATACTGAGCACTTGTCTTGTAAGACCGTCCGCTGCCGCTGCTACCCCAAGAAACCAGAGGCAGCCCACCCCGCCGCCCTGGTCAACTTCCCCTGCGAACCCCTCGCGGGCAGGGGAGGGGGTAACCCTCGCGGGCGAGCAAGTCGCCGCCGTCATGAAATAGAACGCGCCCTCTTGGACGCGGCAAATTTTGACATTTCTATACTTCACACTCCTACGGGATCCACACAGGTGTTGCGTCTGAGTATAATATATATATATATATATATATATATATATATATATATATATATATATATTATACAACTAATATATAAAAATTATATATTTTTAATATATAATGTTATATATGCGTATGTGTGTATGTATGTCTGTCGATTATTTGGTAAGTTTGGTAGTTGCGAAAAACAACAGTTTAACCATCCGGCACAGGTGGTCGATCTCTCAGTTAACTGAGTTGTTCTTACGTTGATAGAAATTTTTGAGAACGCAGTTGTTACTCAGAACCTCTCTATTATTGTTTTTAGATCTCATACCTGCCAGTTCGTGCCGATAGACAATACTGTCGCCACGAGAATAATTTCAATCAAACAGCGTGCAATGCAGCACATCACAGGCTGGAGTGGGTGATACAATTTACAGCTGATACATTTTAATCTATATCTTGTTCTTATTATTCATAAACATAGTTCAATAATGTATTAAAGTTTCAATGATAGCAAATGTGTTTAAAGTGTATTTGTGACTGAAACACCCAAGTATTTTCAAATCACAGCCATATCTCAGGTTGAATATTTCCCAAACATGCACCACGAATAGTACGAAGACTGACTGAATTTGGAAGAAATCTGAATGCATAGCATAATGAACTTAATTTTGTGTTCACTCCATTTAAATGGATGTTCCAGAGGTTTAGAAATCCAACCAAAAGAGACATTTCCACGCAGATTTATTACATTTTTTTATTTATGAATATTGTTGAGGCAACTTTAGATAATTTTATTAATTTTTGTCACGAATTTCTATTATGTTACTTTCTGATAAACTGAGCATCGATCAGAAATCGTTAGCATATTTTTTACAACTCTCATTTAGTCGGAGATCGACGGTGTTGTACTCCCGCTGGATGGTGAGATTCGATGCAACGTACCCACACGTTTAAGAGATTTCCCCATCTAGGTATCTCCAGTGGGAACTGCCTCATGCGGGAGAAGCTGTAAGCTCCCGACTGCTCTCCCGACATGTGTGGAAGTATAGTGCCTGTAAGTGTAACTGTGTATAAGTAATGGGTGAAGATAGGATAGGGAAGAGGAAGGAAAGATCGCAGTTGCCCGTTTCTTAGGGTACTGCTTGGGCATTCGCCAGGTGTTGTTAGGAGTGTAGCGTCACGGCTTGCAGCAGCTCAGCGCTCAAGCGCAAGGCAGAGGGTTCCAAAAATAACCACCTGAAAAAAAGGCTGATATTTCCAGAAGAGACGGGCCGCGTGCATAGACAACGCCAGAGAATGTCTCTATCTAGCGCTTGGAGGGAGAAATGGCGTGGGACCTGGTTTCCTCGTGGTGAGTCCACAAAACTTTGTCCGCCCAGGCTGGTGCGGAGTGCCGATGGCACATGGTGGTTCGGACCAGGCGACGTGTTTCTCCAACATTGTCAGGTAGATTGTCGATCCGCCGGGACACACCAGGTGCCAATTAGCGGGGCGGCCTAGCATGCCTGCCGCAGGCGTCGCTGCAAGGCGCATGTAGGGAAAGGGGGACTGCAGTGGTAGCTCTGACAAACAGCCTTAAGGGAGAGGTTTTGTATGTATGTACATCTATGTGAGTAAACTTGTATATACTCACTCGTGCCTGTTTCCCTTGTGGCGTAGATCCACACCCCCGACGTTACAGGAGAAACCTTGAAGAACTGCAGACGAGAGCAGCCGGTCTCAAGAATTCTCCTTCAGTCAGCATCTGAATTCGACGTAGCTAAGTTAGTACAGCCGATAAGTCATTTTTCCTTGAAATGGTGGAGTAGATTTTTTAAAAAATATTGATTATATTATTATTATTAGTAAGAAAAACTCTAAGTTTTCAACCTAAAAAAACTTCGAGTAAAGTTTTGGTAGCGAAAAAAACAAAAACATGTCGGACGTTGTCTGGTTCCAGAGTAATAACGTTTCTTGAGTGCCAAAATAGTAATGTACAATTTTAAAGATTATAAAATACTCCAAATTTATTGAATTTGCTTTATATATTTTTTCTCAAGTAAATAGTAACACAGAAGATTTTAAAATTTCACGAAATTTTCCTTTTTATTCTGAAGTTGCCCAAAATGACTAATGGTCTCTCTAACGTAGCATTTTTGAATTTCTAACATCATTATAAATAAAAAGCAATTAAATACTAATGTTTTTAATACTTACTGAGGTTAAACTCGCGTTTGAAAGTATTGATAAGTAAGACAGCCTGGTAAACGCTAATAGTCAAGTTGTCGATACTTATATAAATAAATTTCATTTAAAAACGTTTGAGTGAAATTTGTGAGACCAATAAAAAACATTTACAAGTTTTTTTTCGCAAAACGAACTCAAAATGTTTTCTTGGCATTGTTTACTCAAATAGGACAAAGTTTCGTAAAAACATTGTTTCTTAATAAGTTTTTTGTAAAAATTTGTGAAATTCTGAAATTAAAAAATATCAATTGTTAGACACTCTATCAACTCCATTATTAATGTCGAAGTTTCCTTTTAAATACAATTCATCCGGCACTATTAGATCTTTAAATAATATTGTATACACATTTTTAAAACAATGGTAGATTTGCATATTTTTAGTTAGTGTAATCTGAATTTCAATATTAGATCTTCGAATAATTGAATACAAACATTTTAATAATATTTGTAGTTTAGCTGTAATTTTGAATTATATTGTGTAAATTTTTGATGACTTGGCAGTGGTTTTAATAGAATATTGTTTGCAAAATTATAAAACTTCGTAATCTTTTCCCACAATAGTAGAAATTGTCGTAACACGCTACGTATGGTTTCTAAAGTAAATCTTTGTGTTTGACACTAAATAGAATTTTAGAAAAAGCGTGATTGAATTGCAAATTTCTTCAAATCAGACACCTGAAACAATATTCATCTTTTGTTTCCGCTAGGTGAACCTCGTACCCTAGCGTTAATTCGTCCTGTTGATGTAAATGAAGAGGAATATTGCGTTTACCTAGGCTGCTCTTAAAAATTCAAAAATTAGCCCCGAAACACGATCCGGCCGTCTGTAATTGCATTTCGCCTTCCCCGGGCGCCCTGTTATTACGCCGTTCAGCCCCTCGTCAAGATTTTATGCCCTCCGAAGACGCACGTGCTCATAACAGATAGGTACATCAAATTAACGGGAAGAGTTGCGAGGCGCTAGACAAAGGGGAAGACGCAAAACGAGCGCCGAGGAGGAGTATGCCAAATTGGATTATTCGGCCTGAAGAAGTAGGAGTGCACTAGACGAGATAAGTCTGTTTTCACGGAAGGAAATTCCTTGTTATTAATGAAAACTGTCTCGAGGCCTCCCACTCGGAGCTGCGCCATGTTGATTTTAATCCCCTCTTCATTATCAGCAGCAAAAATGTCCGTTTACAGCTGCGGGGAGACACGAAATGGGCGGGGGAGGAACGTAAATAAGCGACGCCGCCACACGTAGGACGGTCCGCTGCGGAGGTCGCCCTGATCACCGGCCCACGCTCGTGTTTGTATTTACTCGGATATGGAAACAATGGCGGAGATTAATTGAATAGCGCGCGCGCCCTCCCAGCCGCTTCCGAAGGCGGCGCAGCACTTGGGTCGGGGCCGCGAGGGCGCGAAGGAGCGGAGAGGAGAAGAGCGAGGAGTCACGAGGAATGAATTGGAATGAGTTGGAGCGAGTGTGGCTGATCATCGTGAGAAGCTACTCTCTGTGGGGAAAAGGGAGAATGAGGCAGGTCATGTGCGTATGTAGAGATCAGAGGGTTTCCGAGCTGTGCTCGGTAGTAAGTGGTTAGGTCAATGACGTCGGGGCTATGGACATGCTAAGAAGCTGGCGAAGTCGAAGATGGCTAGCTACATAGCTAGGTCGAATTCAGCCGCTCTCTCGAGGAGAAATGTAGCGGCCGGTTGCTCTGATCGGTAGTTTTCCGTGGTTTCTCCGATCAACATCAGGATCATACACCAAACATGCCGGGGATCATCGGGAGATTACAATTAGAGCTTGTTCCGACTGGGGCGGTGCCCTGCTGAAGGGAGATACCTGGTTGGGGAAAACCTGGCAAGCGGACGGGTAGGTCTCCATCTAGCGGGGAAGATCACCACCTCCTAGCGCCATAAAAACATGCACTACATTTACGTGATTAATGGTCTCGGTCGTTGCCGCGCCTGGAACTGCTAATCAATCAATCGAAGATGGCAGCTCCGAATGCTCTCGAGTGAGTCGTCCCCCCGCGAGGCATTCAACTGATGAGGGTGCTCAGCGAGCTGTGCTCGACCGCCGCCTGTGACGTCACAACCTCTCTAATCCCACACGTAACCAACCAAGGTGGAGAAAGAAATCGCTTATAGTCGTTTATTAAAGTATTTCGATCTAATAAAAATAAAGAAGAAACGTCCTTTATTATAATGTCTCATTTTTTCGTGACATTACAAGCGCTTTTACTACAAACACGTGAGAATATCTCACAAATT